CCATGTAAAGGTGAAAGTGGCATGACACTTCATGTAGAAATACCATTAAGAATAATGATTGCCTCCTCTGCCACCAGTTCAGCACAGAATGAGAAGCCACTTGTAAAGTAGATGTAAAGGCAAAGAGTTATGTTTTGAATTAGTGCTATGTCCATGTCCCATGCTGCACTTTTCGCCGCTAATAAACTTTTAAGACCTTTCTTCTAAATGTTGCCTCAACTGTGGAAGAAAAGAACAATAACCATAAAACATACTATTATCCTTCAAACAACCAGTGAGCATAGAGATCTGAAGGTTGGATAAGGCTGGATTTTTGGGAGAGGAAATATTTGTATGGATTAATTATGATTTGCTTTCACTAGATTTAAAACCTGTGTGTTCTTCCACTGTCTTCAGAAGAATTACTTCTGATCTATACTAGTGTGAGATGAGAACAGGGCCTATATATTTGTATTTAATAGCAGCTAGTCTAGTTTCTAGTGGAAACTTGTCATAACTAAAATCTGGAACCCTATAGGCAGTCCCAGAAGCAATAGTGATTAAATACATATGAAGAATTAAGTTCCCTCCGACCCCTAGAAATTAAGCCTTTAAATCGTCATTGACTCAGGCACATTGCTGAAGTGGTTTGAGGACGGGCTGCATGCTGCCACCACCACCCATACTACATCTGTTTTGTGAACAAACCAGACAATTTCAGTCTTCAGTACTTAAGGCTTTTTCACAAACTATACATTTACTTGTACAAACATGCAAAACATCATATTAGTCCAGAGGGAAGCATCCATCACACTATATACTATAGAGCAGTGATTCTCAAAGTGCAGTCTGTGGACTACTAGTCATTCACAGCTGCCTGCCAGGTGGTTCACGGCTCAAGTTCAGCCCCCATTTCCTCCCCATGCAGCGGGGAGCCAGCACTGCCACTTGAGCCTTGTGGTTGCCTTGCAGCCATGAGGTTGCCGCGCCAGACCCAGCTTCCCACTTGGAGGGTGTGTGGAGGAGGTGAGGAAAGCCCCAACTTTCCCTTCCAGACCTGGCTTGCAGAGAGGCAGAGCAAGTGGCTCCACATGCTCTGGAGCCACTTGCTCTGCCCCTCTCCATGAGCTAGGTCTGGCAGGGAAGGTCAGGACTTTCTTCATCGCCCCCACCCCACATTGGAAACCAGGAGCTGGTGTTGCAGCCTCACAGGTGTGTAGGTTCCCTGCTGCGTGTGTGTGCGTGGGGAGGAACTGAGTTCCTCTGTCCCCACACTACTGGGGGAACGGCAGCGCAATGACACACTGTCTGGAAGCTTTCCTCACTGCAAGGGGTGTGTGAAACCAGGTAAGTGCCCCCCTTCATGCCCAGATCCCCACACCCCAGTCCCCCTCACTCCTCTCCCCTTGCCAAGACCCTGCACCCCCAGCTTGCTCTGACACACTCCCTTGCTCCTGCACCCTCCCCTGGCCAGACACCCTACTCCCAGCCTGTTTCTGCACCCTACCTCCCACCCAGGCCTTGCAACCTCTCCCTCTTCTGCACCCCACCTCCCTCCCAGATCCTGCACTACCATCCCTATTCCACTAGTTGGCAACCCTGTCTTGTACACTGAACCCCTCATTTTTGTCCCTACCTGAGAGCCTAAGGGGTCCATAAAATACACTAACTCCAGAACCCCCAAAAAGTAAATCTGGCCTATGGGAAGCCCTGAACCTCAGTCTTCCCTGCCCCTTCTCTTTGCCTTCTGGGGCTGGAGCACCAGAGAAGTGAGGGCTGCATCTAGACTGGCAAGTTTTTCCGCAAAAGCAGCTGCTTTTGCGGAAAAACTTGCCAGTCTAGATGCAGCCCTCACTTCTCTGGTGCTCCAGCCCCAGAAGGCAAAGAGAAGGGGCAGGGAAGACTGAGGTTCAGGGCTTCCCATAGGCCAGATTTACTTTTTGGGGGTTCTGGAGTTAGTGTATTTTATGGACCCCTTAGGCTCTCAGGTAGGGACAAAAATGAGGGGTTCAGTGTACAAGACAGGGTTGCCAACTAGTGGAATAGGGATGGTAGTGCAGGATCTGGGAGGGAGGTGGGGTGCAGAAGAGGGAGAGGTTGCAAGGCCTGGGTGGGAGGTAGGGTGCAGAAACAGGCTGGGAGTAGGGTGTCTGGCCAGGGGAGGGTGCAGGAGCAAGGGAGTGTGTCAGAGCAAGCTGGGGGTGCAGGGTCTTGGCAAGGGGAGAGGAGTGAGGGGGACTGGGGTGTGGGGATCTGGGCATGAAGGGGGGCACTTACCTGGTTTCACACACCCCTTGCAGTGAGGAAAGCTTCCAGACAGTCTGTGGGTCCCCTCCCATAAATAAAGAAAACATTGAAACTTTTTGTGTTGGAAACAAATTAATATTTTACTTTATTTAAAACGAAGTTTGATAAACTAACATGAGAAAGTTAAAATGCTTAATCTGTTTAATAATTTAAATTAAACCATTCTCCCTAGCTGCAGCACTAGCAAAATGGCTCAGGCATAATTATGTAATTAACGGTGAGCAATTGGTGATTTGCAGAAAGGTTTACAATTGAGCCAGGTGGTCCACAGACTAAAAAGTTTGAGAACCACTGCTACAGAGAAACACACATATAAATATGTTACAGCCAAGCACTATTGGGGTTTTACTTGTTTATCAAAACCAACAAATGTGAAACTAAATCTTTAACTTCTCTAATTATATATATATTATATATAACTTCTCTCTACACAAAAGTATGTTTTATCTATCCTAAATGCTGCATTGGCTAGCTACAGCAAGACAGATTAAGCAGAAACCTAAATGTAACTTTTAATTTTGTGTTTTCATTTTTGAATTCCTCCATCCCACCATCAATCATCTCCAGCAGTGAAAGTAACTTAAAATTCCTTACAGGCACTGTCCTATTGCAACCTGGGTACCTGGCAGCACTTTAAATAGTTCCTTGCTGGCTTTTGCTGCTGCTTAGCCAACTCTTGCCAGAGCTGTGCCCCAGGGCTCACCTGCTTACTTTCACCTCTGATCATCCCTCCAAAAGAGTCAAAGCTGTTTTAGTTCCATATTCTAATGCAGTGGTCTCCAACCTTTTTACACCCAAGATCACTTTTTAAATCTCAGAAAGGTGAAGATCTACTGCCCCGCCCCTTCATTGAAGCCCTACCACTTCCTGAAGCCCAGCACTCTCTAGTCTCCTCCTGTCCATCACTTGCTATCCCCAGCCCTTACTTACACACTCTGATAAACAGTTTATTTTTAAATTATGCAATATATAAAATTAAAATCAGGTGTTTATAGTTATGAAATAAATGGTCTGTTTTTTATTCATGCTATTTAAATCTAAAATGAAGCATTTATAATTATACATTTTGTGGGGACAGAGTTCTGCGGCTGGGGGCAGGGGAGAGGGAACAGGATGCTGGGAGGGCAGAGGACAGGGTTCTGTAGCAGGGGACAGAGTGCCAGTGGGGATGGGAGTGGGGACACAGTTCTGTGGCTGAGGAGTGGGGTCTGGGGGCAGGGTGCCAGTGGAGGCAGATAGTCCCCTGCATCTGCCTCCTCCCAGGATTCCCCCCCCCCTCCCCAGAGGGAAGCCAGCACGTGCCTCCTCTGGGCCCGACTCCCCCCCGCCCCTGTGGTGCAGGGAAACCCCACGTGTGCCTGACCTGGAGCCAAATCCCCTCTCCCATGGCGTGGTGCGGCATGGCCAAATCATATCATGGAGCTCAGAGGTAACAGTCTAAGACTTTGGTAAGACTTTCCCATGGCCTACAGTCTATAGGCCCCTATTAAGAACAACCCATGGGCATAGTTCCCACTATGGTGCACGCCTGCATGGCTGCACGCAAAATTTTTTTCCCTCTCCCACCTTCTCTAGAGAGCCACATGGCAGGTGGCTGCTCCAGCGGGTGGGGCTGAATGAGATGGTGTGATGAGGGAGCCACTGGGGTAGGGGACTGGAACCTGCTGTGGCCACGTGTGGGCGGGGCAGGTTTCCACATGGCTGTGGGGGTCAGGGTCTGTTCTGGACACTTGGGCCAGGAATGGGACCTGCTGCATGGTAGGGGTGGGGGGAGTGTCCGCTCTGGCAGCCAGGAACGGGACCTGCTGCATGGTGGCTGGGAACGTATGCGTTAATAACTAGTGGGTGCCATGGTGGCACATATCCAAACCAGTGCACAAGACCTCAATATTGCTGTACAAGCCAAAACTCCCTCCGCTCATGGTTGGAAAATCTTAGAGGGAACACTGCTCAGGGGTATGCTTTTAAGTCCCACTGAAATCAACATGCTTAAGTGCTGTGCTGACTAGGGGCCTTATTTCTGAACACTGTTTTACCAAAAAGATTAGACATATTTGAGGGAATTTAGGAACTGAAGGGATTGGCTATGAGGAAAGATTAAAAGAACTGAATACATGAAGTTTACTTAATCAACATCCAAGGACCAAGGGAGTGCAGAGAGGAAGATTTTCAAACTTGAGTGCCTCAATTTCAGCATGAAAATTCATATGCAGGTCCTCAGAAAACAGGCTCTATTTTCAGAAGTGCTGACTGTTTCAGGATAACTGCACCTGCACGTTCCACCACAGGAGTGTCCAGTCAGGCCTCCTCCAGCCATCACCCTATCTCTGGGCAGGCCCATTGTCCCATTCCCTTGTGAGTGGGGTGGGGAACTGGCTGCATAGCTCCCTGCTTTACACCGTGACTTCCCCAGCACT